ACGTTAATTAAATTTATTTCATTTGCAGAATCACATTCTGAGCAGCAGGTGTCAGTATAATACCAGCGGACAAACAGGAGGATGGAAGAACACAGCAAGGCAGGAAACATCTGGAGGAAAGGAGAAGTCAACTTTCTGGGTAATACCTCTCTTCAGTTCTGAAAACGGGTAATACCTGAAATGTTGACTTCTCATTTCCTCCAGATGCTGCCTGGTTTGCTGTGTTCTTCCAAACTCATGTTTGTCCACCTTAGGTTCCAGCATCTGCAATTTTTTGTCAGAATAACAGCGATAGGATAACCAAGTAACACTAAGCAATACGACAGAGTATAAACTGGGCAGGCAGGACATGATTGAATATGATGCTAAGGTGAAATTCATTTCATTGATTCTCCCAATGTAAGATGATTCAGAGACCGAAATAATCATTGATTACAGCAAACAATGGATATCAAGAATTAAAGGCACATATACATGGCTGTATTTGCTTGGTTCTATAATATTATATTGTACGGGAAGTGACTCTATCCTAATGGTTTATAATGAAATTAGCTGTACAGTGTATTTATGGATTTTGCTGGAATTAGATGTTTTCTATACTAATACATTTCACAAGCTCGCCATTGGCTCCAATGCACATTGATATGGCCAAAGATCATGAACAATCCTATACAAATGCAGAGATAACAAGGTGTAGAGCTGGATGAACACAGCAGGCCAAGCAGCATCAGAGGAGCAGGAAAGCTGATGTTTCGGGCCTAGACCCTTCTTCAGAAATAACATGATAGGTATAAGGGTCGCATGCCAATGGTCTAACCAAAGTAAAAAGTAATCCAAAACTCTACAAATTAATTCAGGTAGAGAAAGCATAACAAATTATCAAGGTGATGGCAGTAAGGAAGATTTTACAGATACAGAACAGTATGGTGACATGTAGCATGACATGAACTCAAGACCCCAGTTGAGGCCATCTTTGTGGGTACAGAACTTGGCTATCAGTCTCTGCTCAGCAATGCCACGTTATTATTCGAACTGTCGACATTCCAGTCACACCATTTGTATGATGTATTGATCTCTCTGCCTGTAAACTCTGTGCCTGTATGCTTTTTTTCACTTCACCTGATGAAGGGGCAGTGGTTCAAAAACTTGTGATTTCAAATAAACCTGTTGGACAATAACCTGGTG